AAGTGGGCGGCTTCAGCTCTGGCGCTGAGGCCGATCCCAACACCAGCTTGCCCAGATGCGGCAGACTCAGCGTAACCGGAAAGGCGAAGATAGAAATGGCTGTGTGGTTTGACTGGTGACAACAGCTGATAGACTGTCTTGGAATCCTACAGTCGTGTTTCACTCAGGCAACAGACATCGAATGCAAGGGTCTCCAGCTTGCGTGCAAATCCAGCATGCCGTGCGATCTGCAGTCATGTGCGCACGTTGAGGGTTGCTAGTTTGAACTGCATTCCAACTTGCAGTGGCGAAGATGATAAACTTCTGGGCTGGCAGCCGTCGATAGGTGGCTATCGAGGACTGTGATTAAGGTGGCGGATGTTAAAGAACAACTTCATCGTCGCAGTTAGAGTTGTTCGCCATTGAAGAATCAAGCAAAAATGGGGAAAGGATAGGTACATTGGTGGCGTATGTTTGTAAAGTTGGCATAGTAGTATGGCAGTGAATCATCGTAAGAGCGGGAGAGAGTGAACGCAGTTGCTGGATTCCGTGTTTTGTCAGTAAGCGAGATACTACCCGGTTGCCTAGACCGAAGTAGGTGGGTTGTGTTAATGGACCATGGCCCCGACCTTTTGGCCAAAGGACCTAACCTACAAGGCAGCAGGGCAAGATAGGGCTTTCTCACCCGTTTGGAACCGTTGATTGAACATTCGGTTCATACGCCATCCGGATGGCGAAAGCCATACTAGGGCCAAACACTTCCGAAGTCAAACACAGAGTCCAATGCTCGGATTGCTTGCCGATACACTGTGTCTCCAAGAAAGACAAAAGGCAATGACTTCCTCTAATGGTGAGTCACATCCGCCGCGTTGCAGTGTTGTACAGCAGACACGTGCATTTTTATAGAGAGAACACTCACCAGCCGTAAATCCACGACGTCCTGGAACACTGCCGCCTAACCATTCGCCGAACGGGAAATATTCCAACCGTCCATCTGACACCACGAGGTTGTTCGGCAAACTAGCCATTACATTAGAGAAGCCATTTGCCGTGTCTGTCAAAATAAATGTGCAACCTGTGGATTTTGAAATTGATATCGGCTCCACAGTTACCCTGATACGATCGGATGCCTTATCACAACTTCCACAGTTAGATCCATTAACTATACCATTACGATCGTACACGGAACAGATGGTGAATGTGCTGGGTACATTTATTGCTTGCATCTCTTACCGTAATTCAACGAACCATGTATCTAAGTTTCTGGAGGAACGGGCCCAAACGTACTTCGTCGCGACGGGTTTATACGTCTTCCCAGCATCATGTTGAATGTTACCTTGGTGGAAACCCATCCGCACTTACCTGATATTCTGCAGAAACATGCGGTTTTGTTCGATGAGTCTAGATCAAGCTTTTTGAACAGTTACGCCGCTCATCTTGTCTTGAATCCACATGCAATACAGAGGTTTTGGAAACCTCAGGCTATTCCCTATGCTCTTCGTGATAAATTCGAGAGTGAGTTGCGCCGACTTCAGCTAGAGAGTACAGTTGAGCCTTTTCAATATTCGGACTGGGCAGTCCCCATAGTGCCGGTAATGAAGAGCGTTGGTGCCATAAGAATATGTGGGAACTGCTAGGTTATGATCAACCAGGCATTACAACTAGGTAGATATCCGCTGCCAAAGATTGACGACATTTACGCTTCTCTTTGGCGAGCTTTTTACCAAATTATATCCGAACCATACCTACCAACAAATTGAACTCGATGAGCAATCACGTGCATACTTCAACATTGGCATTCACCTTGGATTATCTCGCTACACACGCATGCCATTTGGGATAAGCTATGCCCTGGCTATCTTTCAGCGTCTTATTGCTACACTGATGAAGGACTTATCAAACATATGTGCATTCTTGGATGACATCTTGATTATTCAACGAACTATCACTGAGCACTTTGTATGTCGTCCTGAAAAGTTTATAAGACACCGGGTTGGTTATCAAAAATCGAAAGTGTGAATTCCTTGTGCCGAATGTACAGTATCTTGAGTATCGATTATCACGAGAAGAATTATGCCCCTTAAGGGATTAGGCAGGAGGGCTACTTGAAGCGCCAACACCCAAAGATGTTCATGAACTTCGGTTATTCTTGGTTGCCGTTATCCAGTTTTCCAGGTTTATACCATCGGCAACGACCCATCTACATCCGCTTCACCAACTTTTACGTAAAAACCAAACTTGGAGTTGGAACAGGATTCACGAAAATACCTTCAAGACTTTCAAAGAGCTTTTGGCATCTGCAGATGTTCTTGTGCATTACTACCAACAAAAGCCTGTCATTCTCTCGTGCTGCTTTACCTCACGATCTTGGAGCTGTTTTACTGCATGCATTACGGAGGGCTACCAGCACCCATTGTTTATGCCTCAAGAGCACCGATAGCAGCAGAACGAAATTACTCGCAGCTTGATTGAGTTGCAGCGGTTCGGTACTGCCCGATTTCACCACTATTTGTCTGGTCGACCTTGATCTATGCGGTTTATGAACCCCCTGTTTTTATTCCTTGAACACGAGGTGATTCAACAACTGGTTTCACGCAGTATGATTCGTTTTTCCCTCATTCTATATGCATATAGATGCAAAATTCAGTGCGTTCTTTGCCGACAGTATAACACATCTGATGTCCTTAGTCGACTTCTTTTCCCAGAGGTACCTTTATAGGTAGTTTGCTCAACTAGAGCACGTAAACTTACTTCAGCATGCAAATGATTTCTCGGTCACTTCAACGGACATACGTCAGGAAACTGATAGAAATCTTGTTTTATCTCCGGTGAAACGCCACGCTCACGTCGGGTGGCCAAATAGCATGGCCATGTTGACCACTGAGCTTACGTTCGTCAGCTTCAAGACTGCTGACCTGTGCGTTTAAGTCCTTGGGACATACCACAATCTCCATATGGTGCTTTTTTCGGATGTCATTTTGTTGACAGTAAGTTTTGTCTTAAACTGATTCCGGGTTGCAGTCTGTGGGAGCGTACGTCGCTACATCGAACAAGCAACGTCCGCTGGGTCCGCGACTGGACGGTCGCACTGAGGTTTCATGTTAGATCGCACAGAACTGACTATTGATGGGGACCCAGTACAGTAGCGCAGCCCCAGCACGTGTGTTTAACACAACCTCCACACGGGCAAGACCAGCGGTTTCGGAAGTTGTGTCTCTAAATAAGCACTGTGCAAAAATGCCAGCGGAACTCAAAAACGGTGAAACCAATCTTATCATCATGCTGGTATCCTGTACGCGAATTTCGAAGAGACAGCAGACAAGCCTGAGCTAGGGCTAATTATAATCTGATTTGCATCACTGTCCGACGCTAGATGGATTAACAACAAACGGTAATTCCTAAGCATGCTTGCACATTTAAACAAGGTGCGCGCAATCTTCGTTACCGAAACGTGGTACTCCGCTGATATATTAGATTGTAATCCAACTACGCCCCTCTTTGAAACACCTTTTTAGTAAAGATCGCTGTAAAAGAAATGGTGGAGGATGCCTCAAACAACTCCGTGATATACAATTGAACGATTTGAACATCCACCGCTGGCAAATGTCCCTGATTCTCTTTGGTTCTCCGTCTGAGGAGCTCCGGTGTACTTGCATCTATCTGTAACCCGCCAAATTCATCAACCATGAATGTTTGCTGTATCATCTCAGCTTTCGATTTTGCATCGGAATCGATACAAACAAAGCATAATTGTAGGTGATTTCAACATACCGAAGATACACTGATCTTCCCAAACCTTCTTGTCTATACACAGCCTTAATTTATCCAGTCAGAGTTGGCTGGACACAGTTGGTTACTATAGCAACTAGGTTGACGAACACATTAGACGGGATGTTTACATTGGGTATGGCCAACGTACAGAGGGACGTTTCAGAGGACATCCCTGGTAGCGACTGCAACATTCACCGTTAGAATGGCCACCAAACAAGTGCCTCCTTTCTACTACACCAGCCGCAGTATTAACTAGAAACCGTTCCGTCAAATAATCCGGTCCTGCGATGGAGATGCCTTCTTTCTCTCCAACAATGCGTGCACAGCCCTGGAGCACTTTTAACATTATTTTCAGCAAGCCGTAACCCTCGTTGCTGCACATAGAAAACGAATCAGTGACGTTAAACAAAGTTCATCAACTCACTGAAGCTGATAGGTAGGTCCTAAAATGCTTTCCTTGAGTAACGATCGTACACATTCTGGTAGCTGCATTATCTGAACTACATACCGGACTCCATTGACTCAAAGTATGCCATATTAATTCTATGCTTATTCGCACTATGCGTGAAGTTGCGTGTATAAAAGTGTAGATTAAGGGTGTCCAAACTTTTCGCAAGGAGGGCCACATTTTGTGAGGTAATAGGATGTTTGACATTAAAATACTAACGAAAAATGAAATATGTAAGTTTTTTATTGCAATTTTTTAAATGCGAATGGTGAGACTGAGATCTGGGGATATTTTTCTTGGATTTATTTTATACCCTTTTAGTAAAAGTACATGATTGGCTTTTCCTAGTTGCTTAAAAATGAACAATACTACCTCATTGATTTTTACTAGTATCTAACGACATCGAATTTTGTCCTCGTAGCTTCCTTAGTTTTATGTTCTCTATATAATATGATCTGTACGGAAAAATGCAAACTTGCATTTATTATTTCATGATGAGGCCGCGAGCCAGTTGAAATGCATTTGGTCTGCGGGCGGGACTTTGAACATCCCTGATGTAGTTAGTCACCAGATCTCCCCTGTCACCTTCTGTGAATTGCTATCTCAGCTCAGTTCTATTCTTATCACTGTTTGCGCGTTGTCACTTGTATTTCGCGCCTCCAGATCGTGTACTATCGACCGTTTTCTACTTGCTTGACGGTAACGCGCACTTCGGTGCACTTGTGCCATGTCGAATGGATGATGGAAATGTCACAATTACTTGTCATTAGATGCAACTTTATTTCCCCTTACTTTTTTCCAGCGGCGACTGGGGGAACCCAGTCCACTGGTAACCGGCAACAGCAACAAATGCTTCAACAGGCTTTGTTCCAGTACAGTTATATTCTGCAGCAGCAACAACAGCAGCAACAAGCTGCAGCCGCCGCCCAGGCTCAACAGCAGCATGTTAATGTGGCTGCTTTGCAGCAATTGATGGGTGGCGCGGTGAATAACCCAGCCACTGCAATGGCTCTGTTGACCAATTTCTGGAATCTTAACGCAGCTTCAGGTTCCGCGAGCAAAAAGTGATACTCTCACCATTCTCACTTCACATGTTCTAGCTTAAAAGACTACTTTCCCGCTCTTTCTGCCCACTGTATTACTAAGATGAACTTTTTGTCGGCGCATGTTTTTCTTTCATGTACTGTTCCATGACCCACTCAATCTCTCCTGTCCCCTGTGTGTTAACCCTCTCCACAAGCAATGACCACACTCTTTGCATAGGATTTCTTCGTCCTACGGACCCACTGTCCAACAATCACTTCCTGTTCCACTACCCATTTGTCTGCATGTCATCTATTTCTCAGGCTTGCTCTTCTTTTTCTTTTCTGGTCATTTTGTACATATATACATCTACTGTGGATGTTATCCTTCCTTTTGGTTTTTTATGTGCTACCATCCCGATTGCACACCATTTTACGATAGCCTTAGGTTTCCTTTTTAGGAGGCCAAATTCTCAGGTGCATTGAGCTTGATCGCTTCTACCTCATGTTTCTAGCTAAACACTTCCCTGGCGTATCTGGCTAGTTAACCTCCGTTTATGTGGTACACGATTTAATGAGAATGTGTTCGAGTCTCCATTTCGTTGATACTTTGTTCTTTGTGATCCATCAGTCCTCCACTCTAGCGGAAGAGCAGCTACTATTCAGCAGTTAGAAATCTCTCCTCTAACAGAATCCAGAACTGCAACGGAACTGAAATTTGTTCAAAACCACCCAAGTTGACATATATAAGCCATGTAGGCGCTAGTCACGCTAACATTTGATGTTTGCTGCGTAACCGGAGCCAAGGTTGTTAGTGATTCTTGCGCAACCGTCAAACTAACCGTATTCATTTATCCTACGACTATTGGTTGAACGCATTCGTAGGTGTTTTTAGTTAATAACTGCAGTTCAATCTAGAGTGCATCTTGACTTTCGGCTCAGATTCTCTTGAGCAACCGTCACTGTGCATCCCGTTTGACAATAAAGTTACTACATGCATCAGTGATGGATATTTTGCTCTTACTTGCCGTACATGCTCCATCCAATCACAGTTTTACTTCTGTTTGGTGCGCTACCTAGCACTGATAACAATTAAAATATGGTCATGTATGCTATAGTGGTAGGCGTACAAGTTGTCCACACTCTTCAGGTTAGTTAGTAAGAATACATTGATTTACTTATAAACACTTTTATCTAAGTGTGCACCGCTTATTAACTTCTTCGTGATAACGCCACCTTCAAGCACAATGGTGTCCTTCGGCAGCCAGTATGCGATAGACCGAAAACAATCACAGGTCTATAAGTTCCAGGTAGAGTGCTTCTATCTTTGACCATCGATCGTCGGACACTTATCTGTAGCCCGGTCATGCTTTACTACGCCACTTCTTCCCGTTGTGTTTTTACAGGAAGTGTGGCGAATGATTGCTCCACTTGGCGACCGAAAAGCAGTGCGGGCCATCGACTAGATAAGCATACCACAATAACTTTTGAGTCTTGCGTCGACGTACCCATGGGAATACTGAGGAAGAATCCCTGCTGAAAACGGATACAACACTGGTAGATGTGTGTCATCAGATACGGGTTTAAACAGGACAGAGCTGACAAATAAGTCTGATGGACTGAGTTCGTGAAGTGCAAACTCTGGACTAATCCGCGCCATTGGTCTCAGAAAATCACGTGTTGTCGAGGTAACCAGCATTCAGCGCCTTGATTCACAGCTAGATACACCTGGCTGTTTAAGACATAGCTCTTTCAGGAACAGTTTAGTTAGCCTCCCGACTCTGAGCTACTTCCCGCTCAAGTATCACGGGTTGAATCGGGGGCTCCATCGGGATCCGAGGTAAACAACGCCGTCTTACCCGTGAACCGTTTACGCACCATTGCTCCGGATCATCTCATGTCTTCGCCGTTTGCATATTGTTGTGAAGTTTCACTGCAAAACATTGGCCCACTTGTTCCAACAGCCGCTGAATTTGGTTACCGGCCTGCCCAACTGAGGGAATAGATAATAGCTGTTCTGCCAATGTAGGGCAATAACCATGTTCACACCCGCTCCATGGACACCAGTTGGACACCGAAAGCGACACAGTTGCTTACCCGAATACTTATCTACCCACATTACTGTGTAGGGCATCGCAGATGAGAGAAAAGCAAAATGGCTTTCACTTGGGATAGGGCTGTGTATACTAACTGCTCACTTTGCGGCAGATGCTAGCGCAGTGCCACGTAATGCTCGATTTCGAGAGCGCGTTTAACCCAACGGATCATTTCGTTCTGTTTGCTCTGTGTACCGGGAAAGCCGCACAGTAGATGTAAATGATTTGCCTAACGTTTCAATGTTTTCGATTGCATCAGAGTGTGTGGAGACTTAGTTGGTGTTTTTCTTTTAACAAGTGTTGTTCATCGGGGTTCTTCCGTTCTTTCACCTCTTTTCAATTTTCTCATAGATACTACTATTTAATGTTCCTTTGCACATTTTTGTGGTCTAGGTATTGCCTTTGTCCATCTGAAACCTAATCAATTTAGATCACACAGACAACCTCGTCTTGCTGTTTGAAAATTGTTAGACGGCTTCAAAGCTGTCCGATGGACTTTCTCGCCTGGTCCCGGCACTGTTTGCTGTATGCGCGTTAAAATAGCATTTGGTCGCTTGATCATTGAGGATGAGAAACTGGAGATGCATTATCAATACTCCCATACTGGCAGGAGCAGTAGCAACGACGAACGTCTGGCTGCTGAGATTAGCCGTCGAATCGCGGGGGCCGCATTTGTCTGCGTAGGTCTGTTACACCTCTGTTGTCAGGAACAGCTTCCTTTCGGTCTTTGACCCCGTGTATATTGCACTACATTGAGGACAATTTACCTCTACGACAACTACATCCGATTCTTCCAATGTGAGTACCTGTCATTTATTCAGTGACCAGTGCTCCACTGTGGCAAGTATAGAACTGCCGTTATCGTATTACAACCAGTGGAAGCTGACATTCAACTATTGGAAGGAATTTCATTAGACTCGTCCAAACCGCGTCAGACTGATTGGACACTACCACAGGATGCGTCGCTTGAGGCTTGTCGGTCATTAATGAAGTGGAAGCTTAACTCGCTGTACACTCGGTTTCATCCCCCTGTAGTATTCAAAAGTCGAACCTATCAACTCGCATTGGTTTGATAAGCAATGTAAACAGTTAGCGCGACGACGTCGCTTACTTTGGGTTAGATAAAGCATCTCGGGTTGTGATGAAGATTACACAGTGTGCAACAAACAGCGTAACTTCTGTAATGCCGCGAAGATAAAGAAACGCCAGCATTTTGAAGAGGAGCTAGCAGTCTCGGCCACAACTGCCCCAAGAGAATATTTGCCTACTTGAGATATCAACTGAAACCTGCGGGCAACCTACCAGTCTTAGAGAGCTTGAACGAATGGGCGCCCATTTCAAACGCATAGCATGCGGACGCCTTAGCTTCGCAATTCCTCACCGTATTTTCCAGTAAACCAACGACTATTCGGGTACCGACACAGGTTGCGCCAGTCTTGCTCGACAGCCTACAATGTGATGCAGTCGAAGTGTATCAGCTAATCGTCAACCTCGATAGTGCAAAGCCTCCCGGACCAGACAGACTTCACCCACTAATACTTGATTCCCCATCGAATGCCATCTCACCAGACGTGACAAACCCATACAATAAACCACTCTCAAGAATGTCCCCAACAACTGGAAATCCTCGATAGTGAGCCCGCTTCCCAGGGGGTGGTGATCCGAGTAAAGTAGAGAAGTATACACTAATATGTTTGGCTTCGATATTATCCAAAGTTTTAGAGGTTGTGAAAGTGTGTCTGATGTTGTTCCTCGAATCTTCTTTTCAGAAAAGTAAAACAGTGAGTCTCCTTCAGCCATTTCGTTAAGGCAAAGAGAAGACAGAGGTCGCGATATGTCAACAATTCGATTGCTCTCTTCGCGGCGGTAAAGAACCTGAGCGGATTCATTCCTCAAAAAACTTCACACGGACACGTTCAACAGCTAACTTACAGCGCAGAGACAACAATCGGTCCAATGCTCTCGCAACGGTAGCGGGGAGCCTTCTTTTCAGAACAGTAAAACAGTCAGTCCTCTTCAGCCATTTCATTAAGGCAGAGAGAAGACAGAGTTTGCGATACGTCAACATTTCGATTGCTCTCTTCAGTTGCAAATACAATACGAGCAGAAACACACGAGGGATTATATATATGGAAAAAATAAGCACCACCAATCAAAATGTTACAGTCAAGACCATGGCAACCGAATTGATTGCCTCAAGAGTTTCTGTGCACATAGCACAGGTTGATAGGCCTTAATTAACAACGCCTCACTAATTGCCAACATTATCGGGTTTTTGTTACGTAATAACACTTTGAACGCTGCCTCGGGGTTCACGTGATGACGGGTTGTCATGAGGTGCTTGGTGATAGACGATGCCGGGCTCCGATTGATTCTCAGATTCGTCCCATGTTGTTGCGTGATAACTTGTCCCAACCACTTTGACAAATGTTCAGCTACCCTCTGAGCTAACTGACGGTTTGTTCTGCCTACGTAAATGTCATCGCAACCGCAGGTGGACTGATAAACAACATGAGAGGCCGAACTACCCGACGAGATGCTCTGACGGTTATGAAAAACAAGTGCTCGCGTGGTATGCCTGAGTTGCAACTGGGCTGTCGTGTAGGTTCGCGTTAGGGCGGACCGGAGCTTGCGTCCGATATCATTTGCCACACGGTCCCCTTGAACGGCAAGAACAAATAAACATCCTTTTTCTCAGCCGTCAACACCGGTGTTTTCACGCTGGGAGGTCTGCTGTGTACCTGAATAAACTTCTCAGGATATCCATCAGGAATTAAAGTCTTGAGTAGAAATTCTTCTTCGGCTTGTAACGTTTCGGGGCTGCAAATACGTCTAGCCCGGTAGAAGAGAGTTCTCACTAAGCCGCGTTTGTATGCGCTCGGGGCGAAGCTTGAAAAATGAAGCTACTGTCCAGTCCAAGCCGATTTGCGGTGAACAGTGCGCTGCAACGTACCTTCAGCCCGTCTCCAAATGAGTATATCCAAAAACGCCAGGCAATTGTGTCGTTCCACTTCATGGGATACCGACAGATTAGGGCGAATCGAATTTAGGATGGTCAGCAGCCGGTTACAGTGTTCTCCGCTGGTGAAGACTAAAATGTCATTCACATATCGTCTGTACAATTTCGCTTCACCAATGCTGGCAGCAACTTGTTTTTCTATCAGGCCGAGGAAGATGTCGGCTAAAACTGGTCCCAGAGGGCTGCCCATAGCGACCCCGTCGACCTCTCTGTATGCGGTCCCCTCAAATTCAAACCGTATGTTCTCGGTGCACAATAGAATCATATCC